TCCTTCGTAGAAATATTAATGCTTTCAAAACACTGTACAATTTCAAAGAGAGGCATGCATTTCTCTCCAGACTGCAAGCGCCTCACATACATGGAGTTGTAGTGGAACCAGGATTAACAGAAGTGCACCACTGGACTTATTGATTACAACTCCACTTCAAAACATACCACGACATGATTGTGTACAAAGATAAGTGCAGCTACTCAAATTCTGACACCCCATAGGCCATTAAGCCATTTATCATTCCAAGAACTTGCTGTGTAGCCATAACTCACAGATTAAGCTTTTACTTTTTCCAAAGCATTCACAATAATAATAAGTTTGTATGATCCTTTAGTAATACTATAATTGATTATTGTTTTACCTCACTCTGTATGAATAAATTCCTAGGATGCCATTATGCATCCCAGCCTCAGGTAACCCAGATGTTCTTGGACTGTGCTTCCCAGAAACCCTGGCAAGCACAGCTGGTGGCAAAGACTTCTGGCAGTTGTAGTCCAAGAACACCTGTGTTATGCAAGGATCAGAACCACAGCCATAGTTGGTCAAACTAGGTGGTATGTAAAGTTTCCCCTTTATATTTAGTCTGGTCGTGTCTGACTCTAGGGCGTGGTGCTCATCCCCATTTCCAGGTGGAATCTAGATTGTACACTTAACATATTTTTACAAGAGGTGCTCCCCTACGTAGCAAAAGAAGTCTGTTTTTCACAGGATGTGAAAAATCACATCATTGATACTGTACATTGATTTTAGTGTGCAACATATGTACATTAAGAAAAGGGCAAGCACATCCAAAGACTTAAAGATGTGCCAAGATGTGTTTGAGAGAGAAGGGAGAAAGGGGTAAAATCAGAGCACAATCACATGAATGTCTCCAACTCAGATCACATGAATGTCCAACTGAATTAATGGAATGTCCTCCCAAGCAAATGTGCTGAAGAAATAGCAAAATAGATTCAAGAAACAAAGTGGGAAGAGGGACTATTTCCCAGACATGTTTTTTTCCCTTGAATTACTTGGCCATTTTTACAGAGTTTTGGTTAAATCACGATTTCTCTGTAGTTCATAAAGGAGGTCCATCTTTATGAGCTAAGCTGAAAATCAGAATAATTATGACTGATGCTGTAAAATGCATTTGCAGTTTGCAAACTGATTACAGACAACATTTTGGAATCACTCTTATCTTGTAACATAGCAACATTGTACCTTGAACAGTTTGCCTCCAATCTGGATCTAGTAAAAAATCTGCAACTTGTACATAATAAGTGGTGGCCTCAGGTGTACCACAAAATGCATCCATCCATTTTAAGGGGGCCTGGATGAGCTTCACAATATGGTCAGAGATACACAATGGCAAACTTCCCCATGTTTCTGTGAATAATGATTCCGCACACACATAAACTTCATGTTCTGGGCTGGGCTATGATATTTCCTTTCCTGAGGTAAAAATCATTATGTCTCACCTGCTAAAACTGACTGAACTGGCAGTTCAATCTTAATCCTCTTTGAAACAAAACATTTGTCCTGCATAATGATACTCGAATTGTGGCTGGTTTCCTCGGCATTCTTCCCTGCCATCCAGATGATGTAAAACTTGTCTCAGTTTAAACAGCAACAGCTTTTCCACTTCCCCTTCTCCTTTTTCTCCCTCCCACCCCCACCCCCCTCTCTCTCACACACATTATAAAGGAGAAGCTTCAAGAAAGTGATTTCATTTTCTACACATTTATGAAAAGGATTTCTTCAGACTTCCTGAAGTGAAACAGTCTTAGCTGAAGTGGCTTTTTAAAAATAACATTGGGAGGCATGTCCCAGTAAGTTCCATGCTTTTTCATGATGATCAGGGATGTACTGAGAAGAGGGGAGTGGAATTATTCACTTGTCTCGAAGAGGCCATATTTCATCATTGGAGACAGAGCAATGTCCTCCCTCATGACTGAGGCCAGAAAGCTTAGCAGGCCAGGCCAGGCCCAGTTCTGCAATGTAATTCTTTATTGCCACTCTCTATTCTACAGCGTCTGCTGCCTGAGACAGCTGCCTCACTCTGCTTAGCTGTAGGGCAAATCCAAGATCTTTTTCAGGTGCACCAATAATAGTTGCAGTGACATTTATCCACTTTCTTCTCAAGTGTCATTAATGCATACTTAATCCAGGCTTCTTACACCTTTTTCAAAACACATCTTCCTTAACAATTTACCTATTAAAAGGTGATCATTTGAATACATTTGTTATGCTTATGTTCTCCATCGAAACTGACAACACCACCACAGTACTCCAACATCCAGAAAAGGTCATAGTCCGGATTGTCCCGGCTGAACCCTCTGACTGGCACTTCAGCTAATTGACACGAATAAATAGCCATTTTACTGTATGTGACCCATCAGAAGATTATTGTCATTGTTTGTCTAAATATTAATCCATTTTTCCACTTCAGCAATAGATTACTAGAGATGCCTCTCATTTATCCCAAGTGTGAATGTTCCCAAATGGGCAGCTGCTATGACATTCTTGGCCTTGAGTCATCTCATCATTATGTCAGCTTCCAAACACTGCTGATGCCTATTTGTGGTCTCTGAACTGTTGCCACTCTACAGCCCCACAGTCACGGTTCAGTGGCATTCATGCTTGGCATAGATATTTAGCAGGTTCTGAGATAGTTAGCAAACAGGACCACAGTATGCAAATAGAGAATGTCAATAGTTCTCCTGCATAGGTAACATGAATGTGTTTCTGGTGCATTGCATCATTTTTGCTCAATAATGTAATAATTAAAATGAAGCCATGGTCTGTCTGGCATGAATAGAAACACTTTGCTCATAAAAGGGGATCTCCTCCATTTCATCACAAACTACTCATCCAGCAGGGTCTCTTGAACCTCTATCTGTTTTTTTAAGGCATCCGTAATGCATCTAATATGAATTCAAGGCAGACCTTTCAACATCACAGTAATCCAAGTTTATGCACCACAATTGATGCTGAAGAGGCTAACACTGACCAATTCTATGAAGACTTACAACACCTTCTAGAACTGACACCAAAGAAAGATGTTCTTCTCATTATACTGGACTGGAATGCTAAAGAGATAAAAGGAACAACAGATAAGTTTGGCCTTGGAGTTCAAAATGAAGCAGGGTAAAGGCTAATAGAGTTTTGTCAAGAGAACAAGCTGCTCATCACAAACACTCTTTTCCAACA